AGTATAGAAAAGTTTATGAAAGTGTCACTCCATAATACAATAGCAAAATATATAATAGCAAAATATAGCATTTTTATGTTACATTAATCAGTGTCTAGCACACCTTCCTAAGGAAAGCATATGGACAAGACATTGCAATTACTAAATTATATTTAGACAGACTTAAAGAAGTTCCAGATCTATACCTGTGCCCTTATTATTTCAGTTATTTTGCCTTTAATGTAAATAAACATGTGCAAACAATATTCTTGCTCTTGTGAATTTATTTGGATGTTAATTACATTGTGCAAGCTGTCTCTTTAATACCGTGTGGTTTATATACATGTTGCTGCTGATTGGGCTGACATGTTTGACACCAAACAAGAGAAAACGCATCTCAAACCCCGTTGTACACCGTTACACACCGTTTCCAGGAAACATGTCGTTCAAACCGGAAACCGTTGCAAAACGGTGCACACCGGTTTGAGCTTGAACTTGCCCCTGGTTTCTTTGTGAACATGCCTGGTCTCTAATGCCATCTAATGGTGTGGGAAGCATAACGTAATTACTTCTTTTTTTTTCCAAAACCACCTGTTTTTATTTGGTTTAACCACAGCGCCCTTTTGTGTTTACAGAAAGCTCAAGCTCAAAAGCTCAATCTTAGTTTAGGATGTTTATCTCAAATCAAATTATCTTATAGTCAAAAACATACACTCATAAACATAAAACATAAACATTAGTAAGACCTTTATCTCGCTAACTGCTGATATTACGAGGTGGCTATAGCTAGCACGTTCTGTAATAATAACTGTAAAAAATCTACAATCATTCATTAATCATCAGATTAAGACACATCTCTCAACCGTATTGTACCTGTTCTATAACACGGAGCAGTAGTCTATTTCTGTCACAGCCAGCGGCTGGTGTGCCCTTGACAGCCACCAGAGGGCACACTTCTGGATCATTGTTTGATTTGTTCTGGACTTCAGTTCCCATCACCCCTTGTACTGATTATTATTCATTACCTCCAGCAATTGATCATTTACCCATTAGTTCATTGTGATATACAGTATATATATATATATATATATATATATATATATATATATATATATATATTCACCTAGTCTT